GCCTCGACCTGCTGGACTCCGGCGATCCTTCCCCCTCAGCCTTCCAAGTAGCCGGAATTACAGGCACACACTCCCATGCCCGGCTGATTTTTTTTTTTTTGGATTTATTGTAGCGATGAGGTCTTGCCAAGTTGCCCAGGCGGGTCTCAAACCCGCGGGCTCAGGCAATCCATATCTGCATTATATTTAAATGAGACAGCAATGGGCTTTCACAACTTTCACCAGTTGATTCTCCTAGTATATCTCTGCTCTAAATCCACTACACTTAGAAGCAATGATGTCATGAATTCCTTGGGCAATAGCAACACCCATTTACTTAGTAACAGAAGAAAAAGTATTACCTAAAAATACAACGTTATGCCTCTGTTGCACTGCTTGTAAATTAATCTTAATGGACTGTTGTGAAATGCTTTTATGTACCATGTGCTATCAATATTACAGTATAATAATTATTCATACTCTCTATATCACATTCCCAAATAAACTCATGTTTTAACATTAATAAAGCAGTATAACCAAACTGGGTGCTGTGGCTCACACCTATAATTCCAGCATTTTGAGAGGCCAAGGCGAGAGGATCACTTGGAGCCATGAGTTCAAGACCAGTCTGGGCAACATAGTGAGACCTTGTCTTTACAAGAAATTAAAAAATTAGGCTGTGTAGTGACACATGGTTGCAGTCCTAGCTACTTGGGAAGCTGAGGCAGAAGGATTGCTTGAGCCCAGGAGTTCAAGGCTACAGTCAATTGTGATCGTGTCAATGCACTCTGGCCTTGGTTGCAAAATGATACTCTGTCTCTCAAAACGAAAAGCATAACAAAAACAGTATAACCAGAACAAAATAAAAGGAAAAAATTAAGAAACGTTCACAATATGTATTTTAAAAACTTAATGCAATAAATACTTAGTTACTACATAACCTATACTCAAAATTCACACTCATTGACATAAATGCATACAATACTTTGGTAAGCGAGCATGTCCATATTCAATATTCCCCTCTCCTGTAAACACCTCTACTTATAAAATACCACAAAGCTGCAGCTACTTGTAATTCAGGAGTGAAGCCAGATGTTGCTCAAAAGAGATTTGAACCCCAAAAAAGTTGCAGGCTAAACTCTGACAAAAATCCAAGCACACATTTTCCATGACCACAGGCCCCATATATGTTTGTCCTACTATGACGCCTCTGTCTCACTTGCAAAAGTGATTTACTATTTTGTAAAATGGTCACAGTCTTCTCACTAGAAGGGCAATAATGAAAAACAGTCAACATGACTGCATTCCAGCCAATTGGATCATTTTTGGCAAGCCAGAGGGATTATAAATGCATGCATAATGTATATAGCCATTGACTTGGCTGAATGCAACCTGTTCTTTTTTACAATGATGGCTTCCCTTCTTTATGGTGTTTTGTACAGACGATGAGCCAGATGGTGGTGCCCAACATTACATTATAGTTGTGGGCTTCAACCATCCCCAGCTATTAGCAATTATGACTGAGCTTGGCATTCCTATAACCAGCGTGATTAAAATATCTTCAGAGAATTACGGACCGCTACAGACACACCTGGCAACGGTTAGCCAGCAGCAGGAAGTTTTTCTTCAGCCAGAAGGTATGCAGTCAGTTGCACAACTTACTGAGTCCTTCAATATTACCCGCTGTCCTTAAAGTACAAATATAATTTGCTGTCCAAAACACAGTCATGCAATACATACATCATTAAATCCTTTCAAAACTTTGATTTGCTATTTATTCTGCTTGCACCAGCCAAGTGTTGTAAATTTTGCAAATTAAAATCATACTCCGTGTTTATATCCCTGTGTAGCCACAGAGAGCAGACAGCAAGGTCAGAAGTCTTGGTTTCTCAGGAACTAGGTTTCTCAGGAACATTTGATCTATAACTTTTGCCAAAAGCATGGGCGAGATGGATCAGTGTCAATAATCTGTTCTTGCAGAAGCCACAGTCACCAAATGGCCCAAGGGAGGTCGCAGCCTTGGATTCTTGTCCTGTTGTGCTACTGACTTTTATTGGATAAGTCGCAGAGGGGTACTTGATCTTCCCAGCCTTAGACTAGGATGCTGTGAGACGAAGTCCCAACCGTGCTACCATTCAGTCATTTTGAGCTTTGGGATCTTCATCTAAGAAAATTGTGCTGGATGACCTCTGTGGAGAGCATGCAAAAAGCCTGTTACTTGACAAAACAAATACTGGGATTTGGTGTAAGCCTGTGTTACCAGGTGTCCATATGTTTTTATTGTTCTTTATTAAGAATGCTATTTGCACAGTACTCTGTAGCTTACAGCCATATCCCAGTTTTCACAACGATATTTTTTAAGCTTTTCACCTTTACTTATTTTATTCTAGAGTAGAGGGTATATGTGAAGATTTGTTACATGGGTATATTGTGCAGTGGCTAGGTGGGAGCTTCTAAAGAGTCACCCCACCGCAGTGGCGAGCATGATACCTGATGGGTGGTTTTGCAGCCCTTATTTCCCCCCCTTCTCTCCTCCCTTTAGTAGATCCTAATGTTTACTGATCCCATCCTTGTTGTAATATTACATTTTTTAAAATAATTAATCAGTATTTTTTATTATGGTTTTGTGGGGTACAGTTAAGGGTTAGGTGTACAATTACGTTTCATTCAGGCACCCTGTTGATAAGAGGTGTTTTCCCAGCCCCAGATATTTGCTACTGTTAATCCCATCCCCCTCCCCCCCCCATAGTTTCCCAGTCATTTTCTTATAGTATTACATTGGATGTTCAAGGTCCATTATATGAGTGAGAGTAATATTACATTTTTAAATGGCTGTTCAAAATTAGAAATAATAATAATAGCTCACATATGTTGGGGCTATGTCCTGGGACTAGGCTTAATTCTAAGGGCATCAACTACATTCATTCGTTAATTTTCACAACAGGTCTAAGAAGCATGTTTTATTAATTTCCGTTTTACCAAAAAGGACTCTCAGTATAGAGGCAACTGTTAAGTCTAAAACTTGAGGTTCAATTCAGGTTATTCCTATCTCAAAGGATTGTTATAATATTAATAATCTATTATTGTAGCCAGTGAGAAAATGTTGCATAAGCTCCAAATATAGTCTTTCTACAAAAAAATTCAATGTATAACAATTAATAGAATTTATAATAGATGAATGAAATATTAGTAGTAGGACGTACTATTTAGCTATAGATGTAATAGGCATGAATATTTCAGGCAAAACTTTAAGTATAACTTTATGGAAGTCTGTCCATATTTTATAGTCAGAGTGCAAATGCCCAGAGCAACCTCTTCTATTTTAATGTGACCAAAAGTTACTGAAACGTAAATTATTGATCCAGTCTGTTTTTACCATATGAGGAGGAGAATCAGATAAAGTGCATTTCTAAATAGTTACATAAAAGACTCTAAGATGGTCAAAAGTGATTTGGCAGAAAAACCATTCCTAAGTGTAATGTGTTACCTTGTCATAATCTCTCTCTGGGCCTCAACTATGAAATGAAGGTGTAGGATAAGCTCATACTTAATATCAATCTCAGAAGTAAAATTCTCTGGTTTCATAACTGTAGAATCTGTTTTCAAAAAGTCTCAAAATTACATTTCTCTATTTGCATTTTCTGGTATTTCTGGTAATGTACCGACATCATGCAATACATATGACTCAAAATGTCCAAAAGTATAAAAAAATTCAACATTTATTTTATAGTATAAACATGTTGCTATTATTAGCTATAGAAGCTGAAAAATTGAAGAAAGAAAATGCTGTAAAAGAACTTGAAACGTTTTGGAAGTACTTGGAACCAGTCCTGAATAATGAAAAACCAGAAACAAATCTCTTTGATGTTGCCCGACTGGAATATATGGTCAAAGTGGCTGATTTTCCTTCTGACTGGTCAGACAGCGAGACAATGGTTAGTACCCACATGAGTGAAGGGTGTGGTTTTAACATGCGACCCTGTGGTACTATTTGCGCCATTGTTTATTCCACAGGTGTTTACCGAGCACTGATTTCAGGGCTTTGTGCTAAGTTCTTCTGTCTTCAGGATAATGATAAAATCAAATGCATAATGCTGGCAATAATCTGATTCTTCAGCTTTTAGTGTGTGAATTAATGGCAAAGAATAAGATGTGGTAGATGAAGATAAAGGATGATGATTCCTTATTTGGTGGCACATGACTTTGTTTGGAGACCTCAACAATGTTCTAGACAGTAATTAGGAAATTCAGACACATTAGTTGTGTAAAGAGTAAATTGTATAATTTGTTGGATTATATGTGTCTTTCTTATGTATCAGTTCAAGCATTGCTCTTCTAAGCCCTTGCCTTATCCCAAAATCATTGTAATATGTTTAGCCAGTAAAGTCTATCTTACTAGGATAACTTGACCTTGGCCCCACAATTAGCAGACATTTCCTGAGAGTCTTTACTGATCCCTGCAACTAAGGAACTTGTAAAGGGTCAAGACTAAAACCTTAACAGAGAAGCCACAGTCAAGGGACCATACAGCTAAGTGCTCAGTTATGTGACACACTCGAAATTTCCTATTGATTCAGAAAAAGAAATGGGATACTTAGAAAAATAGTGAATGCCAGCTACTTGAGGGCTTAAAAAAAAAGAAGAAGAAGGTCAAATGACTACTTATCAAGGATGTTGTGGAAAGTATTCGGGCATCCTTCTGTTATAGAAAACCTCTCAGGGCTCTTTCTAGTTGACCCCCATCCCAACAAACAGAGCCCTGGGAGTGTCGAATTTTCTGCAGGACTATGTATTTCAATGCCAAGAGAGCTGAAATGAAAGCAGCGTCCTAGGGAAGGGCACATCAAGAGAGTGTTCTGAAAGAAAGTGGACAAAGCGGTGTGCAGGAGTGCATGGGTGCGTGGACTTATGCGTGTCTGTGTTTGGTAACAGTAGGTAGCCAAAAAGAAAAAAAACAGTTACCTAAAAGGAGCAGAGTATCCAAGCCTGGAACTGTTTCTGCACCAAAAACTAGGCTGCCCATGGCCATGTGCTGGGGCACAGGTACGTCTGACTCTGAGAGTCCCCGGTTTTACTACATTGACATGGAATTGCCCTTAGTGAAGTGAAAAGTGAAAACACTGGGGAGGGAGGGCAGATGTGAACCTGGAAAGATGGACAGGACTTGAATAGACCAGTATGAGTTATAAGACCCTCAACACAAGGCATCAAGCAAACCACACAAGAATTTTGCCAATAGCAAGAATGAATATCAGCCTTGGGCTACACATGTAAGATAAAGCTGAACATAGAAAAGCTGTGACGGGAGGGCAGAGCTAATTCTAGGCAAAACTGGCTACTCCAGACACCCTTTGACTTTGCCACTCCCCACCCCCTCACCCAATATGTTCAGCTTTCCTGCTTTGCCTTTCACCTTCCTGCCTCTCAAACCTGAGCTCAGAAAAAGACCCACTGTCACCTGTCCTTTACTGCTTCGTGTTACATTGGGTCAGTATGTTTCCCTATCCCAGAGATATTGACATTCCAAGTACAACATGAATATTCCATCCTATTTTATTGGGATTCTGGATTATACTAAAAAATATGACATGTATTTGAGACAGAAGCTATTTCCCAAGGATACTGAAATCCCACCTCAAAGCTGCTTTCTATTCTTTCTCTTCCATAAACCAGTTCTTCTCCCAAGCACATAAAATGTATGATTGATAAAACCGGCATCCACAAATTTAAATTTTGGAGAAACTCTCATTTGGGTCAAGGCCTGGGTACGTGTCCTATCAAGAACTCATGCATTTTTGGTTCATGAGGGCATGCGAGATCCCAGCCTCAATCCAAGAACCTTTTACTCCTTCTCTAGCTAGGGTTCCCTTCTGTGTGTCTTCTTTGGTCTCCAGGCGTAGACGGGAACAATCTGAAATGCATTGAGTCTAAAATAGAGTGCATTCTATCGCATGATCAGAACACAGATGTGAACACCATGGCATGCAGTGACAACTTCAAAAGACTGAGCATCATTTCTAGCGTCCTGCTTCCTGCTCCAGTGTTTACAATTTCCTGTTCATTATAAGATTTTATTCACTAATCTGTCTGTTGTTGAGTAATTCTTTTTAATTTTAGACTCGGGTACCCATTTCCCAGATAGTGAACATTGTACGCCATAGGTAATTTCTCAACCCCCCTTTCCACCTCTCCCCTTATTGGTGTCCCCAGTGTCTGTTTCCATCTTTGTGACCATTTTGCTCCCACATATGAGTCAGAGCTTTTGTTTCTGAGCCAGTTCACTTAGGATGATGATGTTCCAGCTCCATTCATGTTGCTTCAAAGGACATAATTTCATTCTTTTTTATGGCTCCATGGTGTACACACATGACATTTTCTTTATCCAGTCAATTGTTAGTGTGCCTTAGGTTTGTTCCATGATCTTGCTATTGTGATTAGTGCTGCAGTTAACATACAGTACAGGCATCTTTTTTATATATTGGTTTCTTTTACTTTGGGTAGATCGCTAGTAGTGGGATTACTGGCTCTAATGGTAATTCAAGTTTTAGTTATTTGCGAAATCTCCATGCTGTTTTCCATAAAGGTTGAACTAATTTACAATCCCACCAACAGTGGATGGGCATTCCCTCTTTCTCCCCAACCGTGGCAACATCTATTGTTCTTTGACTTTCTAATAAGAGCCTTTCTGACCAGTATGAGGTGACATCTCATTGTGGTTTTAATTTCCACTTCTCTGATGATTAGTGATGTTGAATATTTTTTCATAAGTTTGGTGGCCACTTGGGTGTCTTTTATTGAGAAGTGTCTATTCATGTCTTCTGCCTACTTTCTGATGGGGTCATTTGTCTTTTGTGTGTTGAGTTGTTTGAGTTCCTTGTAGAGTCCGAATATTAGCCCTTTGTCAGAGGCATAATTTGAAAATATTTTCTCCCATTTGGAGGGTTTTCTGTTTGCTCTGTTGTTTATTTCTTTTGCTGTGCAGAAGCTTTTTTAATTAAGTCCCCTTTGTCTCTTTCAGTTTTTGTTGCAATTGCTTTTGGGGTCTCTGTCATAAATTCTTTGCCTAGGCCAAAGTCCAGAAGAGTGTTTCCTAGGTTTTCTTCTAGAACTTTTATAGTTTCAGGTCTTATATTTAAACCTTTGATCCACCTTGGTTAATTTTTTTAATATGGTGAGAGGTAGGGGTCCAGTTTCATTCTTCTGCATATAGCTAGCCAATTTTCCCAGCACCATTTATTGAATAAGGTATCCTTTCCCCCCTTGTTTATTTTTGCTAGCTTTGTCAAAGATCAGTCAGTTGTGGGAATGTGGTTTTATTTCTGAGTCCTCTATTCTGTTCCATTAGTCAATCTGTCTATTATTATACCGGTACCATGCTGTTTTACTTTCTATAGTCTTATAGTATAGTTTGAAGTCAGGCAGTATGATGCTTCTACATTTGTTCTTTGTTTTTTCTAGTTCTGTGAAGAACAAAGTTGGTATCTTATTTGTGATTGCATTGAATTTGTAGATTGCTTTTGACAGTATGGTCATTTTAACAATACTGATTCTTCCAATCCATGAACATGGGGTATTTTTCCACTTCTTTGGGTTGTCTACAATTTCTTTCATCAGTTTTTTATAGTTCTTCTGGGGGAAATCTTTCACTTCCTTAGTTAATTGTATTCTTCATTTTTTGTTATGTTTGTTTGTTTGCTTTGGGGGGTTGTGGCTTGTGTGAATGGGATTGAACTCTTGATTTGGGTCTCAGCTTGAGTGTTGTGGGTGTATAGAAATGCCACCAATTTTTGTGCATTGATTTTGTCTCCTGACACTTTACTGAGGTCATTTATCAGATCTAGAAGCTTCGTGGAGGAGTCTTTAGGGTTTTCTAGGTATACCATTATGTCATCCATGAGCAGGGATAGCTTGATTGCATCCTTGCCTATTTGTATGGATATCTTTTATTTATTTATTTTACTCTTGACAGATTGTTTTTGCTAGGACTTCCAGTATGATGTTGAGTAAGAGTGGTGGGAGTAGACATTCCTATCTTGTTCCTGTTCTGAGGTAGAATGTTTTTTGACTTTGCCTGGTTAAGTCTGATGTTGGCTGTTGGTTTGTCATATATGGCTTTTATGATTTTGTGATATGTTCCTTCAGTGCCCAGCTTGTTGAGGGTTTTTAATCATGAAGGGATGTTTGATTTTGTCAAATGCCTTTTCTGCATCTATTAAGATGATCATATGATTTTTATTTTTGCTTCTGTTTATGTGGTATACCATGTTTATTGATTGTGAATACTGATCCATGCTTGCATCCCTAAAATAAAACCCACTTGGGTATGAGAGATAATTTTTTTGTTATGCTGCTGAGTTTGCTTTGCAAGTATTTTGCTAAGGACTTTTGCATGTATATTCAAAAGGAAAATAGGCCTGTAGTTTTTGTTGTTGTTGTTGTTGTTGTTTCCTTGACTGGTTTAGGTATCAATGTGATACTGGTTTCATAGAATGAGGTAGGAAGGAGTCCCACCTCCTCAATATTCTGGAATAGTTTTAGTAGGATTAATAGATTTAGTAGGATTGGTACCAGTTCTTCTTTGCATGTGTCATAAAATTTGGCTATGAATCTGTCTGACCCTGGGCTCTGTTGTTGTTGTTGGGAGATTTTTTTAATTATTGATTCAATTTCATTGGTCTATTCAGGGTATTTATTTCTTCCTGGTTCAGTCTTGGAAGGTTGTGTGTTTCCAGAAATTTATCCATTTCCTCTAGGTTTTCCAGTTTGTTGCCATAGAGATGGTCATAGTAGTCCCTGATTATCTTTTTTATTTCTGTGGTATCAGTTGTTTTGTCACGCCTGTAATTTCTGATTAATTTATTTGAGTTTTATGTCTTTTTTCTTGGTTAGTCTAGCTAACAGTCTGTTGATTTTCTTTATCTTTTCAAACAACCAAATTTTTCTATTTCTTTCTTTTCCTTCTTTTTTTTTTTGAGTCAGAGTCTCACTCCATTGTCCAAGCTGGAGTACAGTGGCATACACACGAACACCCCAGGATCAACCTGCTGGGCTCAGGCAATCCTTCCACCTCATTCTTCCGAGTTGCCAGAACTATAGGCGCATGCTACCATGCCTGGCTAATTTTTTCATTTATTGTGGAGACGAGGTCTCACCAAGTAGTCCAGGTTAGTCTTGAACCTGTGGCCCCAGGCAGTCTTTTCAGCTCTGTCTCCCAAAGTACTGGGATTACAGGCTTGAGCTACCATGCCCAGCCTAACTTTTTGATTAATTATTTGTATTTTTTTTTTGTCTCAATGTCATTAAGTTTTGCTCTGATCTTTTTTATTTCTTTTCTTATGCTAGCTTTAGGTTTAGATTTTTCTTGCTTTTCTTGATTTTCCTTGAGGTAAAAGACTAAGCTGTTGATTTCTGATCTCTTTCTATTCTTTATGTAGGCATTTAATGCTATAAACTTTCCTCTCAGAACTCATTTGTCTGTGTCTCAGAGGTTTTGGTATGTTGTGTCACTGTTTTCATTTGTTTCAACAACTTTTTTTCTGTCTTAATTTCATTGTTTACCCAAGGATCATTCGAGAATGAGTTGTTCATTTTCTATGCAGTAGTGTAATTTGGGGAACTCCTCTTAGTGTTGATTTCTACTTTTATTCCATTGTGATCTGAGAAGATGCTTGGTATAATTTTGATGCTTTTAAATTTATTGAGAACTGCTTTGTGGCCAAGGATATGGCCTATTTTGGAGAATATTCCATGCAGATACGGAAAGAATGTCTATTCTGCAGTTACTGGGTGGAAACCTCTGTAGATGTTTGTTAGGTCCATTTGGTCTATAGTCTCATTTAAGTCCAGTGTTTCTGTGTTAATTTTCTGCTTCAATGATCTGTCTAGTGATGTCAGTAGAATGTTGAAGTCACTCGCTATTATGGTATTACTATCTATATGTCTTCAGAGGTCAAATAACGTTTGCTCTATGAATTTGGGTGCTCTGGTGTGTGGTGCATATGTGTTTAAGATGGTTAAAATTTCTCGTTGAATTTCATCCTTTATCATTATCATTATATAATGTCCTTCTCTTTTTTTTTAAACTGTTTTTGGCTGAAGTCTGAGCTGATATGAAATTGGCTACTCCTGCTTGTTTTTGTTGTTCAATTGCCTGAGATATCTTTTTCCACCCATTTACTTTGAAGTCTGTGGCTGTTTTTTGTCAGTAGGTGAGTCTCTTGTAAGGCAGCATATGATGTCTTTTTTTAAACCCAGTTTTTCACTCTGATTCTTTTAAGTTGGGCATTTAGCCCATTTACATTCAGGGTTAATTCTGGTATGTTAACCAATCATATCAACATATGATTTTGTTCTTACCATCGCCTAAGAGTCAATTTGTAAGTATTTATTGAACATCATCTTTATGCCAGGACTGTGGTCTGGGTCCAACTGCAGTAAAATTTTAGTGCCCATGAATGCCTCTGCAAGATATGGTTTGCGAGTTTAGAGAGCTTTAAAAATGGTTCAGTAGTAAAGCAGAATTCTAGAAGAAAAAGCCACTGAACTTACTATTAATGATCAAAGTTCATTTTGTACTTAAAATCATTTAGTAAGCATATAAATGATCATTATACTTCTATAGAACCAGAACAAGTGCATGGTGTCCCACTCTCAGCTGTATCTGTAAGTTGAAAATAGCCTTATATCCAAGACAGGAGCTAGCCAAGGAGCACTTTTTTGTTTTCAGATGGAGGGAAGAATTTGCAACCTTTGGCAAACAAGAAGGTTGCATTGAACCAAGATAGCAAAACCAGAAGGTTATATTGAACCAAGGTAGCAAAAGTTTTACATCAATTAAATGCCCATCTAGACATGCTAACTGCTCATGGAAGACATCTGCAGCATCTCAAGTTAAGATTCTGGTTGTTAAAAATAATTTGCTAGCCGGGCTCGGTGGCTCAGCCTGTAATCTCGCGCCTTTGGGAGGCTGAGGTGAGTGGATTGCCTGAGCCCGCGGATTCAAGACCCGCCTGGGCAGCGAGACCTCATCTCTACAATAAATCAAAAAATCAACTGGGCATGGTAGCACATGCCTGTAATTCCGGCTACTCGGAAGGCTGAGGCAGAAGTATCGCCGGAGCCCAGCAGGTGGAGGCTGCGGTGGCTGGGAGCGGCCACTGCACTCCAGTCTGGGCGACAGTGAGACTCCAACTCAAAAAAAATAAAAATAAAAATAAAAATAATTTGCTAGCCTTTAGCATGTGATTTGCTGCTTGACTTAAAAACGAATCAACTGGGTTAAGCTCATGGATCATGGGCAAAAGCTTTATTGCTACATTTCCTAGAAATAAAAACAAAAATGTATTTCTGTACCCGAATTTGGGCGAAAAATGCCAGGTTGGAACTTGACTTAACAAGACTCAACCTTGATGTGGGCATGGGAAACCAGACAGAGAGCTGCTTCCTAGTACTGGTTAGAGCAGGGCCCAGCCCTGAGCTTCTGCCAGACCATGATCCACTGCACAAAAAAGCATCCCATTCCACCTTCCCTCTTCTGCTCAAACATAAGACAGGCTTAGTTCATCCTTCTTTGCTTCCAAGCATACAGACTCAGTCATCACAGTGTTTCCCTACTTTTGGACACAAAAGCCTGGGCTTTTATGTATTATGGCAGGATCACAAGATAGTACAGAATCAATAGTCTCTTTGGATTCAAGAACGGCACAGTTTAAAGGAAAGAAGGGAAGCCGAGAGGAAAGGAAGAAGTATTGATTGAGCATACACTGCAACATACTTGGGCAAATTATACCCAGATGAGCATGTGATTCCAAGCTCTCTGCATGACCAGGCAAGAAGTCATTCATAACTTGTCCCCGGCTGAGGACATTAAAATTACCTAACACGTTTTAAGAATTGAGATATTAAGCACATCATATTATAAACCTCACTGCTGAAACTGATGACTAGGTTGTTTTTCCCTTAGTTGAAGCATTAATTGGGCACTCACAATATTAGGCCGTCCTATGGCGCTCCAAGGGAAACAGTCTGCATTGTGCAAGCAAAGAAGGCAAGAAAGGCTCTTGAATGGACACTTGGTCACTATGTCTGGGATCCAGTGGCTTAGGGATGTGGGGGTCCTCTTTCTTGTATGAAGTCGATAGGCTTCCTGTTGAGGGAGACACAAGCCACATATCCAGTTCCAACAGCATGAAATCAATAATGACTTGCCATTCATTCTCTCACATGTAGCTGGAATTGGGCACTGATATTTTTGAAAATATTGCCTGTTTGATGTATGACAGCCTGGACTGGAAAAGGCAGCACCAGCACTATTTGGAAAGCATGCTACTCATTAATGTTCCACAAGTGGTTAATGAGAAAACTGTCTTAGAAGCCGTACCGATTTCTGAGGTAAGCAGGGGCTCAAATGTCTTCAGTGGGCTGAGTGATTCATCAAACAACATAATTTTCACATTTATAAATCATACAAAGAAAAAAATTACACAGGTATTTGTATCCAGGTAATACTGTCTGTTGGAATTTACTTCATGAGGGCGAGAACAAGGAAAAAGTCCCCGACACAGCACTAAAGAGCTATGTGGCGGGGAAGTCGAAAAGCTGACATCTACAAAGGCAAGGGCGGGACCTACTTGTCAGCACATGGTGCAACAAATACCATCTGGAACAAGGAAAGATATGGACAAATTAATCACAATATTTATTTAGCACCTATTGTGTGCTAGCACTATGCAAAATGCTGGCAATACAATAATAAAGACTCATTCCGTGTCCTCCTCACTGAGCTTAACTTTTTAAATTTATATTTTGGTATTTGTGATGTTTTTATTTTATTATTTTTGTATATTTAGGGGTACAAGTGCAGATCTTTTACACTCATATATTGTGTCTTGGGCTTTTATGTACCCATCACCCAAATCGTGAACACTGTACCCAGTAAGGAATTTTTCAACCCTCACTGCCTCCCCTCCAAGTTTATCTTGTAAAGAGGATGGCAGTCAAGCCAACAACAGTGTCAACAGAGCACGATGAATGTTGAGGGAAGGCACTCAGACTGAAGTAGGAGACATTTTTGTTTTGATTTTTGTGGGGGAGCATTTTTATATTGGCTCTCCACCTGATCTGAAGAGGAGTAGGACTGAGAGGGGAGAATCAGGAAAGCCACACCAGGACTAGTGATGTGGTGAAGGTTGCGTATGAGTCGCCTCATGGAAAGCATAACAGGGGAAAAGGACAGAATGGCGTTCTCAAGGAAAGGGTGAAGGTTTACTAAGATACCGAGGTCAAAGGAAAGGAGTGCTCTGTCACCGTACCACAGGGTAGTACGGTGACCCAAGGCGGCATGTGCAAAGTGAACAGCACTGGAACTGAAGCCGGAGAGGCACGAACCAATTTGCAAACGTCCCTTGGTGCTGAGTGAGAGTTTGGGTTTTGTCCTGTAGGCCGTGGAGAACCACTGAAGAATGGCATGGCTGAGTCAGCCAGGGGAGAAAACCTCTTTGGCTGTCCGTGCCCCATCCACCCATGACTTTCCCCACAATCGCTCAGTCAGAAAAACGGAAGAGTGTCCTTCCCACAGTTTCCTTCCTCCCTCACACAAAACCCTTGTGTTGGATCCTAACGTTGGCAGATGATTTTTGTGCTGAGAGCACGATTATGTAATTTCAGAATTCTGTTAGATCTCATCACGCCAACATTATATGAAAACATCTCTCAGCTGGATATCTCAGTTGTTTCTTTTTAACTATTCCTTTTTAGCCTCCCCAACTTGTGGTTCCAACCCCTGGAAAGAAGAAAGCACAATATGAAGAACCGCAAGCTGCACCACCAGGCACGTATGAAATCTGTTGCTGGAGAATCCACCCCATGAGCTAGCGCTTTGAGAAAGGATGGCCACCCTACATATTGCTTTCAGCTCCCCCTCCTCCTGTAGCTCCTGCACTTACGCGTGCCTCCTCATAGCCGGAATTTATGCACAACATTTGATGGGAGACCTGGAGAATACATCTTCATGGGACAATGATGTTGCCTATGTTTTACAGTGACTTCCATCATCACAACTGAAGTAGATATGAGATATTACAATGATTTGCTGAATCCAATTCCAGAAGAATTCACTTCTGTGCCCCTGATACTGCACTGTATGCTGGAACAGGTGGGTAAGCGCCACGACTTTCTCCCAGAAAGTAAGTCTCAAGTAAGTCACTTCATCTCTCTTGGCTTCCTTTTTTTAAGTTTACACTGTTTTAAAATTATACACATAAGAACTGAATACATTATCCTCTGTAAGGATTAGAATAGTTCAGATGGAACTAAAATTTGCTTTGATCATCAAGTTCAGTCCCTTTATTTTTCTATGTTATGGAATCATTTCTGTAACATTTCTTGAAGTTTTGGTAGAAAACATCCTTAATACCATCTGTGTCTGGTGTCATTTGAGTGAAAGAGAAAGAGGACATAAACGTGAGTGAGGTGGTTAATGGTTTTTAACTATCTTTAAAATATCTTTTGTACTTGTAGATTTAATTAGATTTTTCTACTTCTGAGAACAATTTTAGTCATTAGCATTTTTCTTATGCATGTGTCCATTTTATTTGGGGTTTCAATCTGATACTATACTCTTTATACTATTCACTCAAATATATTTTTTAATTTCCTCTGTATCTGGTTATGTTCCTATTCGCATGACTAATATTATTTATTTGTGCTGTTCTTTTCTTGATTATGATTGTTAATAGCATAGTTATTGCATCAGTGTATTAAAAGAACCAGCATTTTGTTTTATTGATCAACTCTTTTTTACTTTTTATTTTAATAATTTCTTCATGTATTTTCCTTATCTCCATCTTTCTACTTCCTTTGAGTTTATGTTGCATTTTATTTTAATCAAAAGCTTGCTACATTTATTTTTAGCTTTTTTGCTTTATTTAAGGCTATACATTTCTTTTTGAGTGTTTCTTTGCATCCTGCTGTTTTCAAGTATTCAGTTCTAAATCGCTTATTTACTTATTTAACTCATGAATTGTTGCGATTTTCACCATTCCTTGTTGATTTCTAATTTTATTACATTATTACCAGTAAGCACGATCTGCAAGTTAATAAGTTAAAAATTTCCTAAAGTTTTCTGTGTGACCTGATGTACCTAGTGTCTCCTATGTGTATTTGAAAAGCATGTTATTCATACTAGCAGCATATATATAGCACTCGTAGGCAATAAGCACTGTTCTAAATGCTGACAGTATCCTCACTCACGTAGTCCTCAGAACAATCCTAAAACGGGAATTATTTTAATCCCCTATCTTACAGATAAGGAAACTGAGGAATAAAAAGGTTACTTTGTTCAAGTAGCAAATGGCAGAAATGACTTTGCACCTAATCAGTCTCTGTGGAAAAGTATTTTGATGGCATTTCTCCATTGTCACCTTCTTTCTAATGTTGCTGATAAAAAATCTGATACTTTACAAGTAATCTGTTTTGTTTTGCTTTCTAGTAACTATTAGGGTTTTCTTTTTATGATTAATTAACAAGACTATATCTCGGTATGACTTTGTCTGTTTTATCATATTTTTCATTATGACATTAAGAAGTTGTCATCTGATTTCCAATCACATACTAGTAAAATTAAAATTCTTTACACTGTTCCGTAAAAGCTACGAAAAATATGATTCTAGACTGTATCTGTCATCTCACCTCCTGTCCTCCATATCTCTCTCTCTCTCTCTCTCTCACACACACACACACACACACGCACGCACACGCACACACACACACACGCACGCACACACGCACACACAATTTGTCATCTATGTAGTCCTTCTGGTTTTTCCTCAGATATATTGCTTACTTCCACTTTAGCCTCTTACTCCGACTTCTCTGCCTAGAAAGCCTTCTCTTCTGGTGATTCGTTCTCCAGTGGAAGTGACCTTCCTTAGGCAGGCCTTCTCTGACCACCTGATCTAAAAGATCCCTGCTTCCATAACACACACAGAGCACTCTTTACCACATCACCTTTTTTTTACTTTCTTATCAACGACTTCTCTTTTTGCAGTGTATTTATTAGCCATTTTTTACCTTCCTCCCTCCTCCCATTAGAATGTAAGCTTCACGACGTGGTAAGTTAATATAGTCTTGTTCATCACTATATGCGCAGCACAGAACAACCTTGCCTAACCCACAGTGGATGCCAAATACATATTTGCTGAATTAATGAGTGGATTCTGAGAAAGTCTTCTCTTATATCTTCAAAGACCATTTTTTCTATCTGTTTATTAGATGGATTATTATTGAATGGAATTGGAACCTCAGGGTTTTCCTCCTTGTCTTTTAAATTTTCTTTCTATTTTATCATTTTGGGGATTTTAGCTACACTGCTTACTAATTCTTTCTTCAGTGGCGCCCCATCTGTTACTGAAGTTTTGTCTTAGCATTAATGTTTTTAATTTATAAGTGCTCTAATTTCTTTTGACATTTACCTATTTTTGTTCTTAGTTTGTGAATGTAGCACATTTCTCTTTTTCCCTCAATACATAAAAGATTTGTCTAAAGTTCTCTTCAGATTCTATATTGTCTTTGTTACCTCCAGTATATATTTTTTCTGTTTTTTGACTGCCTTCGTTTTCTAACCAATTAGACACATGTAATAATATTTGCCTTTAATTACCCCATACGGTTTTGGAAGACCAATAGTTTTATCATATTGGCAAATGTGTAAAAGCTCAAATCCCTATAGAGTTTATGGTATCATTATTTTATGTATCTTAGTCTTTCTTGTTTTATTCAACTAAGTTCAATGCAACAAACATTTATTTGCCATCTATTAGGTTCCAGGTACCAAGGAGGGCAGTTTATGAGCTCAGTGCCTGACACCCAGTAGATGCATGTTGAATGATTAAAGGCTTAATAATAAGGGGAAGAAAAAACTAAAGTATAGGAGTAATGAGATGGCATTTTACAAGGTGGGATATGAGAAGTTAGCATCTCAGAGGAGGAACAGTTTTGAGTGGTCTTTCGGGATTAGAATGGGTTAAGAGATGACGGGAAGAGAGAAAGTAGAAGCAGTGCGTGACTGTTTTGAAAGCAGAGTGTTTGTAAAAGATAAAGAATATGAGGCCATTTTGTTTTCTAGAGCAGTGGTTCTCAACGGGGGGAAGGGGGTTGTGATTTTTCTGCCAGTCAACATTTGGTGATGTCTACTTTTGGTTGTCACAACTGGAAAGGCGCCACTTATATCAAACCTGTAGAGACCAGGGGTGCTGCTAAACATCCTATAGTACACAGGACAGCCCCTTACAATAAATTATTATCTGGTTCAAAATGCCATTAATGCTAAGGTTGAGGAATTGTAGAAAGATGTGAAATCATAGAGGATGTGTATAGGATTTAGGATAAAGAGAAAAGCTGTAAATTAGATGTCTTTTTAAATTATGTTTCAACCTCTTTTACTTGCTTACCACATAAAATTCAACAAGGCATTTAATCTTCCTAGACCTCACTTCTTCCATGTGAAAGAAACTATTACCATTTACTGATCTCATCATCTTTTAACTTTTCTATTTTTGAAGAAAGAATGGAGACTTGGCCTGAACTGGGTTAATCCCACCCTTGAGTTTGGGCCAGTCATCTAACTTCACTCACCCTAGTTTTCTCTGATACATAATGGAAAATAATGTCATAAATAATATATTTGCTTTTAAATAATTTCTTTTTTTTTTTTGAGTTGGAGTCTCACTCTGTCACCCAGACTGGAGTGCAGTGGCTGCTCCCGGCCACTGTAGCCTTGACCTGCAGGGCTCTGGCGATCCTTCCCTTCCACCTCAGCTTTCCAAGTAGCTGGAACTACAGGCGCGCGCTACCACGTCCGGCTAATTTTTTGATTTATTGTAGAGATGAGGTCTCGCCAAGTTGCCCAGGCAGGTCTCCAACCCACGGGCTCAAGCAATCCACTCACCTCAGCCTCCCAAAGCATGGGATTACAGGCTAAGCCACCAAATCCGGCTTGTTTTTAAATAATTTCTAAAGAATATATTTATTAGGTGGGATTGGCAGTTGAGGGAAACTGCTAGGGGAGGGAGGGGCATACCTCATTAACAGGGGTACCTGGATGATCAATGTTTGTATACCTGACCCTGAATTGTAACCCACATCTTTATAACAAAAAAATTTTTTAAAGAATATATTTATTTTAGAGGAAAATGTTTTCCTATATATAATGCAAAATAATATGAAATAATATATATTAATGGAAAACAGTGCTTTAAGAGAAAGAGCAAACATTTAGAAAAAAATCGTTTGACTTCTATTACAGTACAGTTTATTGTTTTCCATGTGCATTTTGTGTTATCTATTTTAATACAAGTATTAGCATTCTATTTGTTTTAATGCATGGATTGTAAACATTTTTCCGTATGTTTTGGTTATCACTGATACTTGCCTGCCGTTTTGTGTCATCACTGGGACTTTGGTGGCAGAAAAAGACTCATTATTACTCACAGCAGTGGAAATACAGCAATGGTCAACGAGCATCAGCAGAGAGCCGACCCTTAAACTAATTCCTCTCAACTGTTTATCTCAATAGGTTGTAGCAACTGAAGGGGATCTTGTCCCACCCAGTCTGCGGGAGCCACCTCCCAGAGCAGATGGGCTAGACCACAGAATTGCAGCACACATCGTGTCCTTTCTGCCCTCGCTCTGTCTCTCAGAGAAGGAGAAAAAGGTCAGTGTGCATGCCAGAGAGTCTTCTTGCTTTGAAAAAGTGTTTATTCGCTCTTTAAATCAATATTATTTCCATTTGAATAGAATCTTTATGAAATATTCTTATCCGGAGAAGAGAGCAAAAGCAAAGCTGTGCCCAAAGGCCCTCTCCTGCTGAACTATCATGACACACTCACCCACAAGAAGTATGCACTGAAGGTAATAATCATCATCAGGCTACCCTCAGGAGAACTAATGTGAGAAAGTGCATTTGTAATTATTCACTTGGAGGAAGCTCATTGGATAACTTTACCAATGCTCATTAAAACGTAATGTGCAAAATAGGCACTTGCTTGCAAAGTCGAGTCTCGGAAAATGAAGATGGATAAAGGGAAAATGATGTCAGCAAAGAAAACATGCCTAAACATAGAGGTCTAACGAACCAATTGATTGTGACTACCACCAAATGTGCGTGAAAACCTTATAGGTATTTGCTTTTGCAAATTTTCTGGTTTGAAAAATGAGTGAAGGACAGGAAAAGGTCTCGGAAGGGAAAGATGAATATATGCGAGGCTTTGGTAGTTTGTCACTGTGAATGAGGAGTCAGTCGTTTCTGTGTACCGGGAACTTTTGGCTATGTAGCAATCAGCTTTTTTGACCTTCAGCAAAATACCAACAGTTTGTCTTCCCCGATTACGACTGAACTCCCCTGTTCCCAAATAATGAGAGTGAAGGGATCATGTTTAGCCTTCTCCATATGCATGAGGCACTTGACAGCTTACTTTAATGTCTTCTGTCATGCTGCTCTTTTTCATCAGGACCAAAGGAATTTGGACCCAGTTCAAATTGAGCAGGAGATGCAGTCCAAGTTGCCACTCTGGGAATTCCTTCAATTCCCTCTGCCCCCACCATGGAATAGCACTAAACGTCTAGCTATGATTCATGAACTTATGCACTTTTGTACAAGTGGTGAGTACGTTGCTTTGTCTTAGCTTAAGCTCATTTTAATTGATGGTCATATGTGTCTCTTAAAATTACATCCTGATTTACAAAAAGTATTGAAAGACCTTTCAGAGGCTAAGGTGGGAATGTTGATTGGCTGCAATTTTCTTATGTTGAATAATGTCATTAGCAATGGTATGATAACTATAATGCATAACATTCTTTAATTTGAGGCACTGGGATTTTTTTCCACTGTGTTTCCTTAACCATAGTAATTCTCTTTTTCCGCCCTTTCCTCCGTCTCTACCCAACCTCTCCTCCCCCCCATTGGCTTCATTAGAGATGATGTGACGATCCAATCCTATCTAAGAGGAGTAAGGGTTCATATTTTTTTTAATTTGAAATAAACCTCTCATTCCAAAATATCACAATCCTTTCCCATGACAATGCATCCTCTCCCTCCTCTGCCTCACCACTGCACTCCTTTGTCATCACTGTAGATCTCACAAATATTGCAATAACATTGTACACATTATCTGGAAAATGGGAAGAGCAACCCCGACCATGCAACTTTGCCCCAACTCAGAGATATCTGTCTTTGAATCCTCATCCTATATCCTCTGGTTGTAGTCACCCATAATCAACAAAAAACAATTCTAGAATTTGGGTACTTAGAGAAAACTTGAAGTATTCTCTCTTACGTCCAGTCTGAATCAATAGGTCAGACATAACATTATATTACATTTTTCAATATCTCTATACCTATCTTCCATCTATCTACACTGAGAAAAAGATGGCCTACAAGAAATTTACTTCACCCATAGAGACACATACAGGCTGAAAGAAGAGGGATGAAAAAGATATTACTTGCAAACAAAAACCAAAAGCAATCAGGGGTAGTTAAATCAGATAAAATAGGCTTTAAGTTAAAAAGAGTAAAAAGAGACAAAGGAAACCACTGCATGATGATAAAGGGATCAATCCAACAAGAAGGTATGACAATTCTAAATATATATGCACCTGACACCAGAGCACCCAAATACATAAAGCAAATATTACATCTAAAGGGAGAGATCATCTCTGATACAACAATAGTACACCTCACTCTCAGCATTAGACAGATCACTTAGAAAATTAACAAAGAAACATTAGATTTAAACTGTACTTTAGACAAAACGGATGTAACAGACATTTTCAGAATATTTTATTCAACAGTTAAAGAATCACATTTTTCTCATTAGCACATGAAACATTCTCTAGGACAGACCACATGTTATGGCACAAAAAAAGTTTCAACAAACTTTTAAAAATTGAAACCATATCAAGTATCTTCTCAAACTCACAATAGAATAAAACTAGTAATCAGTACAGGAAGAACTTTGTAAACTATACAAATACACAGAAATTAGACATGCTCCTGGACAACCATTGGGTTAATGAAATAATTAAGGAGAAAATTTTAAAATTTTTTGAAACAAATGAAAAGACAACACACCAAAACCTCTGGGATACAGCAAAAGCAGCACAAAAAGAGAAGCTGTGGCAATAAACATCTACATCCAAAAAGTAGACCGATTTCAAAAAAATAATCTAGTCATGCACCTCAAAGAACGAACAAAACAAAAACAACAGAACTCAAAATTAGCAGAAGAAAAGAAATAATAAAGAGCAAACATAACTAAATAAAATAGAGGTTAAAATATACAAGGAATCAATAAAATAAAAAGTTGTGGGGTTTAAAAAAAAAAGATAAACAAAATTGATAAGCCACTAGCTAGACTAGCCAATGAAAAAAAAGAATTGACCCAAATAAGCAAGATTAGAAATGAAAATGAAGACATTACAATTTATACCACAGAAACGTAAAAGATCATCAGAGACATTTGTGAATAGTTATACATTAAAAAATTGGAAAACCTGGAGAAAATTGTTAAATTATTGGACACATACAACTTATCAAAATTGAATAAGAAAGAAATGGAAAACCTGGACAGACCAATAACAAGTAACAAGATTGAACAGTAGTAAAAAGACTAACCACTGCCCCACCCCCTAAAAGCCTAAAACCACATGGCTTCATTGCCAAATTCTATCAAAATGGCAAAGAGGAACTAATACCAATTTTTCTCGAACTATTACAAAAAATTGAAGAGGAGATTTTTTTCAACCAATTCTACACTGAACTACCCTGATACCTAAACCAGACAAGGACACAACAAAAAAAGAGAATGTCAATAACAATAGCCCTGTAAGCCAATATCTTTGATGAACATGGATGCAAAAATCCTCAACAAAGTACTAGCAAAGCAAATCCAACAGTACATCAAAAAAATAATACACCATGATGAGGTAGGTCTTATCTCAGAGATGCAAGGATGGTTCAACATACACAAATCAATTACCATAATACATTGGAGCGGTCGAGGGATTGGCAGCTGAACCAGTTGGACTATGCAAGTCCCAATGTAAGTGAGTGAGTGAATGGGAACTTTTGTGTACGTGCAGGTGAATGAGTGGGCATGTGAAAGACTGATTGAGTGAGGGCCAGGGAGTTAGAGACCAGGGCTCTCCTGGCACAGCAACTGGTGCCACAGCTGCTGGGCTTGGACCTTAGCGATTCCTGGGATGCAGAAGCCGAGTGTAATTTTTGTTTGTTTGTTTAAATAACAAAACCCTTCCTAGGAAGAAAATGCTGGGAGAGACTATCTAAGTGGGGACTCAGGAGCAAGTGGCCAGGCCCCTGGTACAACAGCTGGTGCTGCAGCTTCTCTACTTGGTCCCTGGCTCTTCCTAGGTTGCAGAAGCCAAGCGCCATTTTTTTTTTCAACTGACAAAAGTTTTCCTGTGAAGAAGTGGCAGGGAGAGGACATCACCCCAGGCTCTGCCTCATCATTGCAGCAGGAGAGACTGCCAGCTCCAGGCTTTGCCAACCACTTCAGTGCCTGGCAGGGCACTCGCAGCAGGGGCTGCAGAGAGAGTCCAGAGGCAAACTCCCACAGAAGAGGACAAGAGAGGCACCCCACCACCATCTTGAAGGTGGGGCAGGAAAGTGCTCTGACTTGCTCACCACAGAGAAACAGACCAGATCTCTGTGACTGGTGGATCAATTACTCAGGGATTGATCATGACCCAGAGACAGTATCCTGAGACTGCTGAGTTCCAGGCGCCCCACCTCCTACCCTGGTCCAGTCATGGCAAAAATGGTGTGGCCAGAAAAGGATGAGGAAGGACTCCAAAAAGATCAGTGATGAGTCTGGGGCTGACCCAAACCCCCTCTCACCAGCAATCCTCTGAGTGTTAGAACCATATAGCTGGGCCACGACTGAGAGGAACAAACCCAGGCAGAACCTGGATGTCGGTTGCAATAGGAGAACTCCATTCCTGGATAGACGTGGCTGGGGCACACCCACAAGTACATACCTGGGGAAGAGACACTCCCACATCTCCTTAACAGAGGCAATCTCCTTGACCATATGAGAGTGGGAAGGGAGGACTACAGTCCCACCCACCTCCACTGCCCCTCCTCTTTCCCTGCTCCTGACACTGAGAGAGTGAAAGAGGTGGCTCTGGAGAAGAGACCTGATTAGAGGAATAATTACAGAGTCTGCCAAAAGAGGGCAAGGGTGGTTTTTAAAAAAAAAAAAAAATTTTGTTAGTCCATCAATTTTTTAAAATATTTTTCCTTTGTGCATGAATGTGTATGTGAGGGTTTGATCTGCATCCCCCCCAAATTATTTTCTTTTCTTTTTCTGTGTCTTTCTCCTTTTATTTGTCATTTTCTGTTTATATGTGTATGTGAATGATTGAGTGTTCATCTTTCAATTTTGTTGTTGTTGGCTTATTTTTGCTCTTTTGTTATTATGGGTTTTGCTATTTTTATTTTTCATAGCTTAAGGTGTGTGTCAATTTATATGTGAGGGTTTAACTGAATTCCTTTTTTTTTTTCAGGTCTTCCTGTTTTTCTTCTCTATTCACTTTGTGCTAGGCATGTGTGTGGGTGTTTAGTTTTCTTGGTTTTAGGTTGTTGTTTCTTTTGTTTCACTTTGATGTTTTTCCAGTTTGCTTAGGAAGGTGTGTGTATGTCTGTGTGTAAGTGTTCAATTGTTTTTTGCATTGGTTTCTGATTTGCATCATCATATAGAGTGGTGGTGGGGAGTGGGTCTCAGGGAACACATACCACAATAAGTGAACATTGTTTCTGAATCCTAGAGGCCCATCCCATACTTTATTCAAATTCCAAAACTACAAGAGACAGCAAAGCTTCACATGCACCATCCTATTTCAAAATATAGAACAAATCCAGAGCCCAGATCAGGGAAGAATAGAGGACTGAGCAAACATCAGAAGGGAAAGCCTCTCCCACTGACACTGCATAACAGAACTAAAGAGAAAAACAAGAGATCTGTCACAAATGAGGAAAAACCAAAGGAAGACCTCAGGCAATTTCAAGTGTGCCAAAAAAAAAAACTCCTGAAAAATCAGAGCTTGGTGCCCAAACAATGGAAGTCACCCACAACTGACCCCAGATTATGACAGGGATTAGAGAATGGATGGAAACAGTGATTAAGACTCAAGAAAGAAAAAATGCAACATTGAAAGAACTTGTAACCGATATTTTGGCAATAAAAAATTTCATCCAGGAAATAAATAAAAAGATGACAAGCATAGAAAGCAGAATTAATCTAGCTGAAGAAAGAATCTCAGAACTTGAAAACCAGAACATGGAATTAACCCAATCTGTGAAAAACATAAAAGGAAGATTCAGAAAGAAAGAATGAAGCCTACAAGAGATGTGTGATTTTATCAAGAGGCTGAACCTTCACCTGATAGGTATCCCAGAGAAGAAAGCGAAATGGGTAACAATTGGAGCAAGTATTCCAGGAGGTAATCCAAGAAAACTTTTCCCATCTCACCAGAGATTTGACCAGCCAAGTACAAGAGATACAGAGAACCCCCGCAGGACATCAAAGGAGGAGACCAACCCCTAGACACATAGTAATTCACCTACACAAAGTAGGCACAAAAGA